TTTGCTAAGTGGTTTATGTGAAGGTAACATTCAGTCTACAACACAGTGTGTGTCACTAAAAACCCCTTCTTTATATCATTTGACGTAGGAAACACATTAAGCTCACATAGCTCGTCAGACAGCGCCGACCAACCATTCAGAACACGGTCCAAAGCATCAGTGCTATTTAATGCACATGAGCTTGTTCGAGATTATGTCTGGCCAGACACCACCAACAAGCCTAAAAACGTCGGCACTCGACCCATATACATTAATCTGAGACCAAGCGGTGATACGATAAACAATCACCTGAGGGATCCAAGTCAACAAATTTTCGAACGGACAACATGCAACCGATATGCGTCCTTCCCTCAATAACGATCGTATTCCGCACCACCAGTCCAGCAACAAGCGTGGGTGAGTTTAAATACAGTCGAACTATAACATGCCACTTGGTGGGATCGGCAAATTTAGGTGCGCTCCATCTCCCCCTGACCTGCGCGGCGACTGAGCAAAAACGAAAGACTCTTATCAAACGTACGGTAATTATCTGCCTAGATTCACAGGTTCTCAAGGCGGTCAACGAACTATGTTTAAACTCCATTTCCGAATTCGCTCATTCACATCCCGCACTGACAGCAATGAGCTCGGTTAACGCCATTAACCAATGCTGTTCTGTTGTGTATGGCACAGAAATAATTGCAGAAGTAGCACATGCTTTAACAAACCGTTGATCTTTGTAATAGTTGAACAAAGGACATCCTTTATTCAACCAGACAATCAGCAAATACTTTAAATTCCTATAGTGACAATTCTGCCCCTGAAGAAATCTCAATAAAGAGAATGCAATTTAAATTACCTGTTCAGTGACAGTATTGTGTTAATGTGTTACACTTCAGATCCGTCGTAATTTCATACTTATTATGACTGTAACAAGACTACTTAAAAAATTAAAGTATTTCATGATCCTAGGTGGATCGGTTACAGTTATCGCTTAAGAAAATAATTCTCCTCAAAATTGGCACTTCTTATGGAAAGTCCACGTAATCCATTTAAAATGTGCGCACACACTTCCTTCCTGCTAAAGGACGATTGCATCCAACTTTCCATTTTGATTCAAACACGCAGGATTCCATTCTACCCGTTTTGTTACCAATGTGGCCGTTCTGTTGGCGTCCGACTGGTACAATGTGCCAAGTGTAAACAAGTGTATTACTGTTCAAAAGCTTGTAAGATGAAGGCGTGGAACACGCAGCACAGGTTTGAGTGTGGACCCGGAAAACAAGGTAGGTTCTTCTCTCTTCCAAAGTTTATGATTAAGTTTGGTAAGTATCGTCTGTGTATCATGCCCTTTTCCGAAACTCATCGGCACATACACTTTAGGTGCTACACGGCTGAAGTCGTGCAGGTGCTTCGGATCAGACCATATTAATTGATCGGCCCATTGTTGACAACTGTCTTAAGTGCGGTGCAATTGGATGTCCGAAATTCCCAGGCAAAAGCTGTCCACCTATTGAAGCCAGACATTTTAACGGCTCACGTTGGCAGTAAAAGTTGCTCATACGGAAAAATACGGGACTTTCCGAAAGCATGAATTTTGTGTCCAGGTTTATATTCCACCTATTTTCAACAATTTGCGCAGCTGGATAATGGTTTCTCTGATACCAGGGATTTGCGCTGGTATCGCATTTTTAACACAAAGATGGGGTTAATACCCTCAGGATGCTTGTCCAACTAAGTCGTAAGGCAGTCCGCTTGGAAGAAGCCCCTCGAATTAACTGCATTTTGGTAATTGCTTGGGATTGAGTCACAACAATCCACTATGCTCCACGTATATACAAACACGCACTAGAATCCAGACCTTTTATAACACACTGACCAATTAGAAAGTCGCTTAAGCTGGTGGTTAATACTGTGATAAATGATTATTAACTCTGACATCCTCATAAATTTTGCACAATAATAGCATGCATGAATAGAGGTCTCATGGATCAAGTAACATGTCCACTTTTTGATATTGTTCCATATTATCATACGTTGTAAACATCTATTAGTGATAGGGTTCACCGCAAGAATATGATGCATACAGGACCACATACACGCGTATTCCCAGTTATCATATAGAAGCCATCCGGCACAGCACTCAGAAGCCTGAGTACGGAACCAGATCAAGCTTTCTCGGAAGTACCGCTACGTATGCGTCATCAAGCGTCTGGTGGGTTAATGTAGTGTGCCTACCGCCTCGGTCACTGGAACCAAAGTTGTTAACGATAATCATTCAAAATCTTCAACGAATCACGGGCAATGCTGCTTTTCAACACAGCAAATATTCCCATTGTAATCAAATGAATCAAGGCCAGAAAACAGTTCAGGGTTAAGATATCTTTTCGGTAAAATCTCGTCAGACCCAAACTTTTACATGACACGGATTATGTGGGGTAAGCGTCAAATCGGGCTGGGATTGATTTCTAAGGTGTTTGAAAGGTCAAGATCGATGACTTAAGGTGGCTACAGATGGTAGGAAAATGCATCAAAGGAAATTAATACAAGCTTCAGGGCCTAAAGTAAATAGCTAAGGTCACAAAGGGTAGTTAAGTAACCATGTCAGTCGGCCAAGGTAGTAGTATCGGCCGTATGAATCGTTTGTGTACGCATAATTCCGGCTTCAGATGATGGATGTAAATAGCCTCGCGAAAGCAAATCTTGTCTATCGCCGAGGCTATTTACATCCATCATCTGAAGCCGGAATTATGCGTACACAAACGATTCATACGGCCGATACTACTACCTTGGCCGACTGACATGGTTACTTAACTACCATTTGTGACCTTAGCTATTTACTTTAGGCCCTGAAGCTTGTATTAATTTCCTTTGATGCATTTTCCTACCATCTGTAGCCACCTTAAGTCATCGATCTTGACCTTTCAAACACCTTAGAAATCAATCCCAGCCCGATTTGACGCTTACCCCACATAATCCGTGTCATGTAAAAGTTTGGGTCTGACGAGATTTTACCGAAAAGATATCTTAACCCTGAACTGTTTTCTGGCCTTGATTCATTTGTTAACGATAAGGCAAACAAACATTGCGTTTAGATAACTTGCAGAAATGTATGTAATGTAAATGAGGAGGGATAAATTCGCAAGTGACAGAGTCACTCATCTTCTAACCCACTCTTGTATTCGCATGCACGCGCAGTACAAATATGTAGAGGTTTCAACGGTGTCATCGTTCCTGAAATTACCAATACGACTCCTGTCTATTGTAAGCATTAGGAAACTAGGATAAAATAAATTAGTGGAATAAAGTTGACAACCAAGTAGGCGGAGCTGGATCCACTTGAAAGCAGACGCGAGTAAATTTGCGCGAATCGATGGACCTTATTCCATGTATCTTGGGGTTGCCCTTACAGTGCTCGCATGTTGATTGCTTGCTGTTCCTCAATGCAACCAGTTAATAGAAATAAGTTTGTACTGAGCACATGAAGAAACGCGGACAATGGAGGCACACCGTATTTGATTTGAATGTTGGCGGGCAAGAGGCAGACTTCGAAGTCAGCCGAGGCCACCATTGAGACTGTGTGTCGCAATCCAAGACAGACGGCAAGTGCTCGAAAAACCCGAAAATCAAAGTGTGTTTAGTTCTCCTGGGCAACTGCCAGTGGCGAAGGAAGCTACCAAGCCACTTCGAAGCAGGGAGATACACTGTGTAGACGTTGGGCATTTTCATATGTGCACCACGGTCCAAGACATAAAATAATTAATGTGTACCTGAGCCTCAGCCTCGATTCTGACCATTTCATTTCAGCCAGTAACTGACTGTGTCAGATGTTGTCCGAATAGGTATTGCAAAGCTACATCCTTACCGATGACGTACTGATGTCTTAGTGCATGACAGAAAAATACACATTATACATAAAAGATAGCTTCTCTTCTTTCATTGACGGGATTAATAATGTACTGTTTAACATAAACTGTATCTCCCCATCCATCTCCCTTTAATGGTGGTTGTCATGAATGCTTCTTCGTATCCATCTTGAATAGCGATTCGCATCCGTTACCAAACTGTACTAATGCTTGTCTTTGCGCTCGGATCTGTATGGATGGATCTTTGTTTACGCAGACGACTTTAGCAAAGTTGGCCGCAGTTCCTAGTTGTTGCCAAACCTGTGCAAGTTTTACAACCGACTACTTACTTGCGAGCTGATAGGCGGCAACATTACTCTTGCACTATAAATCGTAAAAGGAACTGAATCGGCCATTTCTTCGGGGAAATTCTGAATGCTTAATATTTCATCTGTACCTTTAATGAATTATCTTGATGCATTTTTAGATGTACAGTGGGTACAAATATTAATGTTGGATACGCATTTCTCCATCCCCAGCTGCGCGGCCGCGCAAACCAGTTCATGCGACAAAACCAAAACATACTGCGCCATTGAAGGTGAGTGGAAATACATACTGTTTGACATTTCATGAGGCGTACCTAATTAACCATAAAAGAACTTCAGAGGCAAACTGGCTAATACTGAAAGTACTGGCAAAGGCAGCTGTTTTCGGTATTTCAGTACAAACTATAACTACAATTCAGCTTCTGTTGGAGTTCCCTTGTGTAGCCGTTGTGGTCCTTGGGCACTTGGTCTTGGGGAACGAAGCGGCCGCATTTCCTATTATCACCGTGATAAAATTAGCCATAACTAAACAACTAACCGAGAAAGGGAAAGCGCGAATTTTCGGTGGGAGTGAGAAAATCATTTCAGCTAGTGTGGGACAGACAGCGTTGAGCTTGAAGGCGTTAAGCAATGGCACGGAGGCCGATATTCCCTCGTGGAATTATGCTTGAGGAAATTTGTCGCAGATGGATTGATTCAGACAGCCACCACACATGTAAGAAAGCCCTAGACTGCTGTTTCGTACCATTCGGCGTTGTCAGCAGCGTACATTCACCGAATCCTGTCGTGCCCGAATACTTGACCTTGCTTTACACAGTTTTTCCCCATTATTAATGTGTCAAAAGCTGTAATCGCCTCAGCAGCTTACATGCCGCCTTTATTGGCGCCGAGTTGAAGAGCAGGCCGTCGCTCTGGTGTCAACCTTGTCCTGTTCACGCTCATAAATTGCATACTAGTTGAGAATAAGTAACACTAGTTCGCAATCAGAAATCAGGCAAATCCGAAACCGGATGCCGCCAACCATATATATATATATATATATATATATATATATATATATATATATATATATATATATATATATATATATATATATATATATATATATATATATATATATAGATGGAGTGAAAACAGAATGGCATCGCACTTTCATGTGTTTAGCGTCAAACAGCTGGAGTTTGACCGTTGCACTAATTCTTTCAAACCACTTTGCACCCTGGCTGAGAAGGCCGAGGTTTGATGATTCACGTCAATGATGACATCATCAGCATATTTTAGTAGGATAGTTTCTTTTGGGACAGGTGTAGAGCAAACCTAAGTAGAGAACATGAATGGGAACAAACTAGCTCCTTCAAGGACACCGGAAGTTGTAGTGTGTGGTGAGGATCTTTTGTCACCAAACCTGTTGCCCTGTGCGCTGTTGGCGAACTAGTCCGCTAGCAAGTAGGAGAAGTTGAATACCAGACGTCTGTGGATTTTCCAAAGACACTCTATGGTTAGCATAGCCGGAAGCCACAACGCTAGCAGATGACCAGTCCCCGTTGTATATTTATCAGCTTTAGATACTCAACAACGCCGGGATAGTTATTCTTAAGGTAATTGCACACTTTCAGTGAAAATGCAACAGCTCTAATACAAGCTTTGATCTCGTATCCAAATGCGCAGATGTTCTCATGGCGTAGGGTTGTTTTGCAAACTGTTTACGTTGCGTTCATATTAAGAGCATGTGCTCGTAGCTGTAATTAACGTGTTCCCGGCTGGTTCTGACGATGGACGACAGACACACTGGTACGTTCACTGGTTAGTTCTGTGTTACTCAGTGGCTAGTAACGCCGATCTTTAAAAAGCTTGAAACTTTCCAATTGATTTTGTTAACTTATGGACCTTAGGTACGAGCGAATGCTCTTTCACCGGCCCATGATCGTATCAGACCTTCGTTGCAGCCTTTGCACTCCAAGATTCCGAGCCTGTTAACTGCAACGCGGTAGCACAAGTTGTAGTTTCGCAAAAACTAACTCTGCAGCCTTCGAATATTTCTTTCGATAGACGAAGCTAGCTTTTGTTCACTTCCATACAGATTGTTTGTTGAAATACGCGCTTAATGTCTTGATGCTTTTCCGTCATTTAGAAGGAATCTGGTCGCCATTGGCTATTTGAAGCTTGGTAAAAGCGGTTGATTATTCGCTGCTTAAGATTAAGCTTTTGAAGTCTTGTTGATTTCCTAGCGATTAGACTCACAACTGTGGGAGGCCCGATAGCAGCCACTATTTCGCTGTGCACTGTATCGCATGAAGTAGCTTAGCGTCACCATCTGAGTTCACCAGGCCGTTAACAGATTCAGCTTTCCAAACCTCTTTATCGCATTATATGTTGTAGCGTTTAAAAACATCATGAGAATTTTTTTTCACGCGTCAATTCTAATTAGTGTACGAGAGTGTAAACACTGCACTGTATGTTCACGGCATCAAACCATGCCTTTTAGTGAGTCAGCTTTAAAGAATAACCTTGTAGTGTGTCGTATGTAAGCGTTTCCTAGCCTTGCGTGTCACAAATTAAAACACAAATTTAGTGTTTTTTTACACAAGTTCCGGCCTGGAGATGTGACACTTCCGTGTCCAGTGCGCAATCTGTTTGCAGGAATAAAACCTAAACCTGTTACCTTGAGGGTAACTTGAAGCCATTTTTAGTCACTTAGTGACCAGGACGACGTCGGTTACGTCACAGCTTCACAAGTGAAGAATCACTAAATTACAGTCATCAGTCGCAAAGCAATGTATTCATGAAAACATACGCAGTAGTGAATGTTGGATGAAATATTGCTCAAGCAGTGCCAATGGTAGCTTACCGATTCCACTAATCGTTTCTGTGTGCCCAACATCGGACTACTCCTCACTATCACCAACATTTCACTGATAGCCTCCAGTTTCCGTCTTGTCTATCAACAAGCATGTTACAGCAAGGCTGACTCAATGAATTCTCTCAACGCATTAGTACTCAACCGAAACCGGAAGCTGTTGGATATCAGTGAAGTGTATGTCACAAGTATGAATCATATAGCTTTGGGCGTACAGAAACGGCCGATGTGATCGGTAAGCTTATCTTGGTCCTGATTGCGCAATATTCAGTCGCCATTCACTTTTGTAGCGAACTTAACTAAATAAATGCTCTTTTCTCGAAAAATTCGAAGCACATCACTATGGGCATATTCATAAGTTCACAACACGTTATGATATATACATGCATATATATATTTATATATATATATATTCAACACTTGGTCAATATACAAGTGACACAGGACCATAACACATGTAATGACAAAAATGGAGAAAACAGGCAGTCAGGAAGGATTTGTTGGGTTTATATGTTGTGGGGGCAGAGAGCTTCCCGGTTGCCCAGGCCGAGGAGTAAGGTCAGCTTAAGGGACCTCACCTCAAGCCTTTGGTCGTAAAGACTGGATCCGCAAGGGTGCGGGGCGATTTACGCATGTTGCTGGAACGTTCAACCAGCTGCTGAAGACAAAGACCGATGACATCCAGGTGGTTCATTCGCCTTCATTGTGTCCACACAGGAGCAGGTGATCAGCAAGGTTGTCCATCCACCTCCTTTAAGTACTCACCTGTGGTTACAGAAGTGAGTGTTCAGTGACTCTGTGGCTGGAGCTCATGTGGTTTTCGATGGATCACCAAGTGACCACCCCATAAATCTGCACGCACTGAGACACCACCGCTGACTGTCCGCGAATGCCTATTCATCTCACCTGTAAATCAAATGAGACTTGTTCGAAGTTGCCTCCATGAGAAAGGAATTCCAAATTCGCATCCCGAGAACATACCGCATAGCGTACCAGGAATCAGTAAAAATTCCAAAGGATTGCACAATATCCATAAAAATATATGTTAAAAAACTAATGTTCTGCACAGTAGTAATAGCAAGCGAGAACAAATGTGTGCTTATCACATTGGTAAAGATGAGACTGGCATGAAAATCTTTACAATTGACTGTAGTAGTAAAGGCCAAGTACTAACTGAGACGGGGCCGGATTGGTTTTTCGAAAAGTTTCCAGTAAATTCACTTCTTCAATGGATCTTGGAAGTTCGTTGGCCATAAGAACGTTATTACAATCTCTACATATTTACCTGCGCATGTTGTCATGCAAGTATTGCTATGCGACTGACGAGAGTCATTAAAATTTTGACAAACGGCAACTTATGTTTTATCTTTAAGAGGATGAAGTTGTTAAAAGACACTCAGTGTTCCAAGCAGAGTGCCGCCAAGCTCATACGCTATCATAGTAGCAGGAGCATGAACAGGTGAGGAAGGTTACTTTGTGCGACCTTAACACAGTGTCAAACTGGTCAGTTCAAAACGCCCTACCATTCAACGTAGACAAATGTCGCGTTGTGCAATTACGCCATATACATACCTACACCTAGTTGTTGGGGACAAACGGATTGCAGACCAGCTTCCAGGAATGTGCTCTTGGTGTGATCGTACAGAGCGACCACAACTGTTCAAAGCAGCCTGAGGTAGCTGCGAAAAAAGGCAACCAGCACGTCGACATGCTGCGAAAGACATTCGGGAGATTTGGCCCATCAATCTACCCAATGATGCACAATTCCTACGTGCGCCCGCATGTTGAATACGGCATCCAAGCTTGGCAACCTTGGTTGAAGCGCGACCTAGAGGTGTTAGAGGCACCACAACGAACAGCAGCAAATAATGTAAAGGGCCTGAGCTATCGCTTACCACCGAAGGCTGAAGTTGCTGGGAATTTTCAGCTGGCGCTATCGAAGACTGCGCGGTGATCTCATATTAGCGTATCAGATATTGAGTGACCCCAACCACGTATGCCGCCATTTGCTGAAACTTAGCCACAACACACAGCTCAGGGGTAACAGCTTGAAATTGAGGGAACAATATAGCCATCTAGAGTGTCGACGGAATTACTTTTTCCTTCGGGTTTACCAACCCTGGAACGCACTCCTAGACTCAGTTGTATCCTCCCCTAGCTTGGACGTTTTCAGAAAACGAATAGATTTTGTTCTTAGCTTCCATCATTTTGTTACCTAAACGCCTCTATTGTGTACTACGCCAAGCATGCTTTTCAACAGGATTTATATATCAAGGGGATAGAGTGAGCGACCATATTTTATTTTTCTCATGCCTTACATCAGCGATCACTGCACCACAGTGTCCTTCTGAACGTTTACGCTCGATTATTTTTACTTTTACACTGATGTAATTTATCAAAGCATTCATCTCGGCAGGCGTTCGGTAGATGACCCAGATATATTTTGATTTCATCATATTCACCCCAACCATCCTACGGGACGTATCAAGCACTTGCTAAATAAATCACCGTTCATTGTTCGCTCATATGTTGTTGCTCCTGTTCTAAGCAAATGGCTCTCATCTACGATACTGTAACAGCATAACCCCTTGTGATGATATCTAGTCCTTTGTTTGAACTTAACCGACACTGCAAAGGAAGACAGTATGCCAATCGATCTCCGCCAAATCCAGCTGATCACACTCGAGCCAACTAAATGGACAAAGTGGAATCATTTCCTTCTAGAATCAAGGAAATACAATTTACTTTTATAAAGCCATCGCTTGAATACACTGCCCTTAGTCGGAAGGAGGATTCGGATCGTGTGCATTGGGTCTAGCGCTGACAAGTGGTTGATCGAATTGAGGCTTGACGCAACCCAGGTAACTTATTAGACCAACGGTTTTTTCTCACGGTACCCAGACTAACACTGACCTCGCACTACTATTCGTGGTCCCGAAAGAGGAGACAAAGAACTTCAGCAAACCGTACTTCTTGCCTTAACGAAGCACAAATGGGGTTTGTACATCTCGGTATTTATAGCACGGTTTTCCAGTTATCGCGATGGCGGCATACTTGTTACTTACTAATAATGATAACAATAATGATAATAATAATCATATTTTGAGGGTGGTAACCAAGTTGAGGTAATTACCAGTTAACAATGGTAACAACGACACGTGGGTGTTATCAAACACCGACTGACGACAATAGATGCAATGACTATCGGTGCACTGCGCAAGTGGAGACGACATGTACCTGCTGAGGATAAAGCAAATAAAATTTTGTCTACGCAACGAGACCACACTCGCTTGGTCAGCGAAGAACCGGGGCGGGCAAACAAGAGCCGAATGCAACAAGTGGGATAGGGGTGAGTTGGGTCCAGCACAGCCAACAAGCAGCATATGATAGCCGATTGACATGAAGAGACGGCACAAAACACGAAAATGAGAAGCAGCCAACGCGAAACCGTCGCAGATGAATGGCTCTTCGAATGTTTGTGCAGCACACATGATACTACGCGTGACTTTTGGAATATTTTGGCCGCTGCTCGAGCGCTCAGTTGGATACTTGAAACCCAGTATGATATACTGGCATAACGCAAAACGGACACGCTCGACAAGTTACTCTGCTAATTTCCGGAATCCATACCATCGAAATTTACGTGGTGAAATAGCCGCTTACCATTTATCTAGTTTAAATACCCATTAGGCTGTAGGCAAGCCAATTAAGATTTATGTGAGCTAGTTGGAATGTCGGGTGCTGATCCATCAGCCGAGACGCGCTCGACTGATCAGATCTTAATGAACTGCAAGTTAACAAGCTTCTAAAGCCTCATCGGTCTATCAGATAAGGAAAAATAGAAAATTGAAGATGAATGTAGATTGTCGGCTTGTCTATTTGGTAGGTTTTGTTTGAATGAAACTGACATTAGACACGTTTGTAGTACATGACATTCAGATATCTGGACTACTTGCTGGTTTTTGGAGTAGTAAGAATTCGGTGTTTGTACCTTTCTGCATTAAAACAGGCTAAAGATTTTTGTTTGGGTTTTCGCACTACTAGAATCTGGTGCATATAATGGTATCAGAGTCAGTTGGATGTTGCACAACTTGTTTTTCACACTGTTCAAATCTATTGACCCGGAACACCAGAGTTTGCTTAGAACCCAACTCCGGTAGAAGACGTCGACTGACCCAACCATATCCTTTCAGCTTGTTGCATTCATCTAACGGGAAGCAACGGAGAACCAACGTTTTCACCTGCGTGACTGCAGTAAATCCAGCAAGGACACAATGTGTGGCCTCCTGGCTTACCTGCTCATGTGCTTCGTGATCTCTGATGGTGTCTGTCTAACAAAATCAGTTATGGTAGGGTTCAGTAGACATAGTTGCAAATGAGTGCTGAAGCTGGTTTTGCACTTCGTGGTTCTCCTATTCAACTGATTCTCTATCTCCAGGTCTAAGCAAATCAGCAGTTTCAATCGATTGGGTGTACGGTTCAGTGCGCTCCGCACTTTTATTGCTGGTTTATTTATTAAGCAGTGAGTTGGCAACTTTTAAAGACGCTATAAATCTTCATCGTTTGTTTGGCAGCTTAGTAGCCGTCCGTTGATTTAGGACAGTGGCTCTCAACCTGGGAGTAGTAATTACCCCCAAAGAGGTAAAATGGAATTGTAAGTCTGGACGTCAATCTGCTGCGAAACAAAATTAATATCAAAGTCACCTGTATCAAAACACAACCAACTACCTAATCACCATTGATTAGCCATCGGTGACTAGCACGAGTGAGGGTTCAGCGAAGTAGACAGATTTTATTCCCCAAAAATACGAAAACAAGTCTGCAAAGCAGCGCAGCTAACCGGCGCACATATCGTCTCGCTTGTCCATAATTGTAAGTCAGTAACTCAGTGGATAGTGAGCGGAGCTATATCACATCTAGTAACTTATTTACCATGGTGGTTACCGTCCCCCGTAGCTCAATGGTTGCAACCACGGACTGGCAACAGTCGGGTTGCGGGTTCGAGCCCTAACATGGTCCGATGGAATGCGCACTGCTGATGATTCCCGAAAGGATAAAACGCGCATACAGTGCTTTTCCGGGAGTGTGACGGCTGTCTGAGTGAGCCTAGATGTGATGAATTGCTACCTATGACATTCAACTCCCCCTACTACTCTTTTGTAATTCTTCTTTTAAGTCAAGCAGTTGTTCGCCGGGTCAAAGTGCAGAGTTGTGTGCACACTAAGGTGACAGCATAGGTCAGCCTACCAGGTAAAACCGCGAGCTGTCCACACGGTAGAAGGGAGAAAACAGGTTATTAGGGTTCAGGATGCATCGATACATATTAGTGCTGAGAAGGTGGCATCCAAAAAAACTTGGTAGGGACAGTTGAGACCAATGCGAAGCCACTGATATCTATGTATGTTTGATCAAGGATCACACACCAAAGTATGACTTGTAGTGTACATTAGCCGAATCCGCACCAAAAATAACATAAATTGTAGAACTAAACAAAATTAGCCGTCCCATTAAGGTAAACCACCCCGGGGTTTGATGAAAACATTGCTCACAAAATGGTGTTTTCTCTATTTGATTGATCGACAATAGTTAAAAGTGCCTTCAGTTCTCATAATTTAAAACAAATATACGATGGTTAATAGACAAGTAACTTTTTAACCTAAGAGTTGGTGGGTATAATTGTATATAGTGCACCCGTTTTGTGAGTAACAGCCACGAAAGGTTGAGATTCACTGATATTTGAGGACCTCTCAGCCTGGCAAATGAGCTTGGATAACTCTCCTGTTTATCTCTAAAGAACAAATTTAGGGTAGATAACCTAGTAGACAAAGCCATCGGGGTCCGAGCCACCAAGGAAAAAGAAGCAAACCTAGCCCTATGTGTAGTTACAAGTGCGCGCCTTTGAACTACGCTATATCAGATGATCTTTACTGAGAGGCAAATTTGGATCTGATTTACAATATCCCGAATGATTTTTTTCCTAACGGGACTTCTCCAGAATGCATTCAGGTTATTGCAATGAATCTAACACCTTGTTTTACCATGTGCTGTTATTAACACTTCTTAACTCCACCTGTCAAACCTACAAAACGTCTCTTCTCTTACGTATGCGTTTGGCTTCAAAGCCGGTAAAAATGCTTACACCAAGACTTAAGCGATGTGTCTGAATAGCATGCTGCCATTCATCTTTTTCGACAAAGTCCGTTCATCTTTCCCGCTCTACAGCCACAGATCAGACCAACTCCGAAATACGAAGAGGACTTGCCATGGAGTAGATTCTTGCTGTGCCGTTCCGCAGGTGGAGAACTGTTGGGTCTCTCCCATCCAGCATACCAGTATCGATTTCTGCTCAATCGATACCTCAGAGTGAATCAGAGCGGACGAGTCTACATTTGTCGGTACGGAGGAGAAGGAAATTACAGCCTAATTTGAGGCGGCAAATTTGTGTACATTTCGAAGTGATTTTCTCAATTGTTGAAAGATTATTTAAAACAATGAGGACATTGTGTAGTTTCGCTAATAAGAGTTTGTTTATTTGAAATGTATGTCTTTTGAACAAAGTGCATTTTCCAGTCTATACAGTGTGGCATGGCAAAAAATTATTTTCGGAGAATGTAAGTACCTTAAGTTAACTGCACCTTTCAAATGACCGAGTAGTTTAGGAAACCTTACTTTTCGGTTACAATTTAAGCACTAGGAAACAACTAAGATTTGTGAATACGACGCAATGAAATAATATTATATGTTAGGTCCTTTTATAGAAAACAACTGCACTGAACTGATAATGAGGGTCTTAGCGGGGATGGATACTCATCAACCAATTTTAGCAAAATAGGAAACGGGTATGAGACGTGAAGTTAAGGGATTGAGAGTAGTGGATGCATCGCGTGTTGAGTAGGGAGGTTGTGGTGAAATTCTCAGTTTGATATCGTGGAAGCCAATGTACGCACGTTACACTATTGGAAAAAATATCAACATCAGCCGGCGAGTACAATGCATGTAGAACCACAAGTCCGGCAACATGAATGGTAAATAGATCGAATGTTTTACGAACGAAACTTCCTTAAAGATCAGCCAATTGGAATTGCACCTGACGACAAATGCTGTGCATATATATATATATATATATATATATATATATATATATATATATATATATATATATATATACGTAAAACTGGTGCGTGGAAACTAAAATCCTTCGATCTAAAAGATGGAATTGCTTGGAAAAGCTCGGGTAGATCACATCTCGATTATAAGCCGTCTCTGTCCAACTACTTCTTGTTGTTAGTAAATTCGTTGTTCACGAGCACCGTCGACGGAAGCGGGGCTACTTAAGAGCAAGTAGGTTGCAGTTTCCAGAGAGGTTACTAACGCTTGCTCAGCGATGGATTCCATGACATTGTACAGTACTGAAAGAACGGACATTGAACAGCGGTTTAAGAGTTCAGTCCTAATCCCTTTTTTGTGCACTGGAGTGGTTGTTTCAAGGTTCCACATGGTCGGAACCTGGTTTTGATCTAGGTTCTGTTAAATGAACTGAGCTGAATTTTCGGCCTGGTTCCTTGCTGATAATCCCAGTGCTACTGGGCAAAGTACATTGGTTTCAAAGAAGCAGTGATTATGCTTAGAGGTCAAACTCCGCTTAAGTGATGAAAGAGTAATGGCTAAGTTCTGACTCTTTGTCACTAAAATCTGTAAGATCCCCTGATGACAAAGGTCGCTGAAAAGTGAGTGTATATTGCAGCCACAGAGCATCGGTTGTTTGTGTAAACTATGAAGTGAAATGGTAAATGAAGGTAAGCAGGCTTTTCTGGACATTTTGTTGAGCAGGCGCGAGGAAGGATCACTTGAGCCTAATGTCTTCCGCAAAGCTACAGGCGTTGAACAGTAGACATACCTTTCGAGCCTCGTCTCTCTGAAATGCAAACGCAACTTAGTGCTTTGCTTGAATTACCGGGACACCAACATTTGTAGTTCGGTAACTCTCGAGTGTGAGAAGGACCGAAATGTGAAACACTTCTTTCGTATGGGTACCCTGAGTATTTCAGCAAAAAGCACGCCATGACACGTGAGCGCGCTAAGTCCATAGCAACGGTTCCGAAGAAGGATGTGTTTCTCTCTGTTCCTTTTAAGGGAGATATCGCCTTCGATCTCCTGAACAGGAGATTTTCTAATGCCGTAGCAAGGACCTACCAGGCAAGCCACCCGCACGTAGTTGCGGAGACCGCTGCCTTCATAGTTCAACCTCTTAAAGACAGACTGCCAGTGTCTTCCGAATCGTACATTGTTTACCAGTTTACTTGCACCTGTGGTGCCAAATACCTCGGGCATACGACCAGGCGTCTGTCGGTACGGATGGCTGAGCATTGTCCAGGATCACTGCGGAGAGGCACGCTCAGAAGTATCAACAGCTCGCTCATGGAACATCAGATTCTAAGTGAGTATCAAATTTCGACAAAAGATGCCTTCAAAATCTATTATGCCGTACCGAGGCGATACCCGCAAGGGTTAAGGAAACGCCTCTTGCAGATGATTGAAGCCACCACAATCCGACTAAGCCAATCAGAGCTATGCAAGCATAGGACGCTTGTGCAACCCTTGACTTTGCCATGGCCCTAATGATAAGTCTCCGCCGGAGTATTACGCATAAGCGGGTGCTATTTATTTAGGTAATTAACTACTTTTTGTATTGTTAGTATGTTTGCCACTTCTGTTAACATAAATTATATTGCTGTCGGTTAGTCCTATCACGATGTCGCCTGAGTAAATCGATTTGAGCATCGAACGAACGTACTAAATCTGTTCAAATCGTTCCATCTCTCCTCATTGTTGCCTTCACCAGTTTACTGTTGCATTTATCAATCCTGTAGCTGTAATTGCCTGCTGTGAACTACCGAAAAGAGATCTCCTTGCAACGTTGTGTTTTACTTTTCAATGGGCATTATCTATGAAGTAAACTATTTTATTTGGCCATTTGCTATCTGGATTGGAGGTAATCTCTGCCACACATCCCGTAGGCCATAGGCGTGTGGCTTCATGTGCCTTGTTCGCAGTGCCACGTAAGCGACTTCAATGTCTGAGACCTTATTGATCGAGTTCTGCTTTGAATGCCAGGCTTCAATGAACTCACCTGCTTGCCGGCTTTTAGCCCTTCCGAGGATACTGGCGTGCTCTAGGTCGAATTGATGGTTCTCGCCATCCATATGCACTGGCATCAGGGCGTTCTGATCGCGGCACAAGGCTACACGAACACAGCCTAGCCATTCGTCACCAAGAGCAGAACTCCCTGATGTCAGTGTATATGGATGGCGAGAACCAGTGTTCCTAAGGTATAGAAAAGCGTAGGAAAGCGTGTTGCACCATGAAGGCTCTGGTATTCACGGAGTGTTGAATTTGGCCGGCGGTGAAATCGTTAGACCCTATTGTTAGTAGCCGGACGATGCACCGTCCTCTAGAAATGGCAGAAGTGGACGAGAAGCGTGACCCACGACCAGTGCTTATGATGGCGGGAGAGTCATACTGTGCTGCTTAGTGCTTTAAAAGTGCAATCGTTGTCGCCTATATGGCCTTGTGCACGACCGATTGGCGTATTTATTGAGCTTAACAAAGTTCAAGTTTGATGCAAAACCCACTTCATGCAAAGTAAAGTAGCTTAACATTGGGTTGCATTTTTTCACAACCGTTGGCAACGTTCATACAGAGAAGTCATAGATCATTGGTTCCTCGCGCACTCTCGCTGGAGGTAACCGAACTTCGGCTTCGTCAGGATAGGATCATGCTGGCCACAAATTTTTTTATTTTTTTAACCCCCTGGGTTTCCGTCGTCAGTCAGATGGCGAACAAACAAACGTTAGTCAGAGGACAGTTAAACGTGTGTCGGGCTACAGTATATGGTTCATCAAGACAAAGTAACAAATGATGGCGAATTTCTTTGATAACTGAAGCCTTTTTGGTTGGCGTATTGACATTTCATCTTGATTGCGGATTCATCCAATGATGCACATCAAACTGCCTAGTGTAAGACGGAGCTGGAAGCTCGACAGATTTACAACATCTATTCTATCTGCACAATTACTAATTTTGGATGTTTCCACAGTCAAAATAACTGACAATTGTAGCGCTGCTCACAATCCGCACTTGGGTAGTTTAACTTCTTTTTGTCAAATTCATACCCTTTGTTGTTCGCAGCATTTCCACCGTCAAATCTCTGATCAAGTCTCCATGCGCAAGTTGGCTGCTCCGCAGTCTGCTTGATACACGCCATCAATGTGTGTAAGTTATCGTGCGCAGCGCTGTTAGCGGGAGACCAACCATTGGTTTCAGAGGGCGGATCGTTGCAGGTGAGAATTTATTTCGTACAGTAAATGGTTCCCTGTTAGGCAAACTATCAAAACGACACCGTTGACATCGCTAGCTAGGGTGAGGTGAGGTGTGCAACACACTTAGTGTACACGCGTTGCAACCGAAAGGTGTGTTAAGCGTACGTAGTGCCCGATTTAAACAATCAAACTTCACATGCAGTTAAACATTCCGTACCGTAAGTGTACAATGAAATAGTAAGCTTTGCTATTATTTTACTCAGGCAAACTGGCAACTGTTCCAAACTGGTACATACTCTCACCGTTTGACCCATATACACATGTGCACAATCTTGACATGCAAAATTTACATGCGTTTAGTATTTTTTTACTATGGGAAGGGAGTCTTTCACAAACACAAGCATCGGCCGTAGCGGTTAACACTTTTAAAAATCTACTCTAATCTTTCATTCAACACCCTCCGTATCGCCACCGAAGTTCCTCCTTCATGCGGAACGCACACTATTGCCACAACATTCGATGAGCAGTTCGGGTTGGGAATCGCTGTCGGTCACCCTCTTGATACAGGTCAGAAAGCATGCCGACTCATTCGAGGGCGACAGGATAATTACAAGTCAGACTTGCGCAGGGTGACAGCGCGCGACTGGTGTAGTAATCATGCCTAATGGGCCTTCTTGCGCCATTGCGCCGTTGTGCATTTTTATAGAAGAAAAGCAGCTCCAAAACAACACACGGTTTGCTTAACGTTGTACAAGACGAATTGTACGGTTAACAGTTTAAACGATGCATGAAACACTAGACGAGACCAAAAAGGAGCGGGTTGAATTCCGTCTGCTGTAATTCCTATGGTATGACTATTAGCGGTAGCAAAGAGATGTATCGCAAAAATGGGCCACCGTCTGATGGTATCAACAGAACAGGTAGTAAGTCTAGAGAAAAAACCTACCGGGTGTTTTGGTAATGTGCTCCGGTGTTAGGAGCGGCTGCGCTCAGGTGCTGACGTACAACCGATACGCTGAAGTGCTAAGCGTCCAATGGCGTAAATTGATTCACCGGTAGGGGTGTGATGGGACACAGACGCGACATGGGTACCTATGATCGCAGAGCATA